AACAAAAGCGACTACTCAGTTAATTCCTCTTCTTTTATGCGTAACAGTTACTCTTCAACAAAGAATATTTTCTTGGCAATAGTCTTGAAATATGCTTGTCACAAACTTTAGAAAAGCTCACTATCATATATTCAAAAAAGGAGAATTTATTCTCTTTACAAGGATACCATGAAACGTGATCGAAGAAAAAGTATTGGTTCAACTCCATTTAGTAAGTGAATCGAATTTTTATATTTCAATTTAACACTTTTAATTAAACAAAAATTTAATTTAGTTTTTAATTTAATTTTAATTTAATATTCTTAATTGGAATATACCAAACTTGCTAGAGTATAAAGTGTAGTTGGAAGAAACTTGATGCTTATGATAAGCATGATGTGATGGAGAATTGCGGATATATAAAACTTATAAAATAATACTTGAAATAAGTAATATTTACTTGAACGTAATACATACTTTTTTGTGTATATAATTGTCAAATTATCAAGTCACGCCACGAGAAGAGTTTGCATTTGTAAGAAACATAACGGACGCTGAAGGGAAAGAGTGAAAGAGAGAGAGAGAGAGAGAGAGAGAGAGAGAGAGAAGAACTGAATGAGAAATAATTTATATACAACCTCTTTCGTGCGCATGGCACTCGCGATACGTGTGAAGGGAGAAAGTTAATTAATAGGCGGAATGCTTTTGCCGGCTGCAAACTAGCTGCTGGCTCAATGCATTTCGGCGGCGCATCCACGGCGACGTTTCGTCGTTCATCAACGACTCGCAAACGCCGCTGGTACAGCGCGATCTTCTCTCCTGGTGCAGCTCGTTCTCGTCTCCTTCTACACGGAGAGAATTTTACAGTAAAAACTAGCTCAAACTAGCCAGCCTTACCCGGGTTATCACAAAGTGTTGAGGAGATAAAATTCAAGGGATGGGAGTTTGAGAGATCTGCACTGAGAGAATTTTATAGTAAACATTACTACAGAACTTTGTAACCGAGGAATAGATCGACATTTCGCAGTACTTCACTTTATCCTTTCATTTGATATGCGCTGTTTATATTTTAGAAACAGAAATATGCTATTGCGTACTATGTTTTCACAGCCAAATATGCTATATTCCCAGCGAAACTTGCTGTGTTCCTTAGCAAAATAGACTTTACTGATAGTCTATTTCTGGACTATTAAAGACAATAGAATTGAAAAGAATTTATATGATGGAAAATATTTATAATATTTTCTCCGTGTATTTTCATCTACTCTTTTGTTTATCATCCGGTGTGTACTTTCTTCTCGTCGTCGTCCTCTCTTTACCGTATTCATGTACGCGTATCTCGTGAGTAACGAGACAACAAACAGCCGCCGTCGCGATGAAACGCGTGATTAACGCTTTGTGCCGTTTCCTTCTGTCTTTTCTCTTTTTTTCTCGTCTATTTTCACGTAATCCCGATAAATATGAGAAAATATGAAACGCGCGTGGCGAGTGCCTCCGCTAACTCATCGTTAGCGACACTATGTGTCGTTCCTTTCACTAGAAATCCCGTAAATTTGGAAAATTCGATATGCTGTTTGCGTAAATAACGAGAGCCGCAAATTTCTGTGCCGGGCATCGCAAAATTACGCCTGTCGGTTCGTGCAAATTGCTCGAATGTCACGCGAAAAAAAGGTGTAATTGTTTATGCGTGCGCAACGCACGTAGCGTGGGCAGCGCTGAGGGCATTGAGGCAATGAAGCGCGTTTAGACGAAGCAAATTTAACGGACGAGTAATTAGCGGAGAAGGTCGTGAATTAATAGAGGGATTTACTCTTGCCGTGCGCGCGGCTTTTGTACCGAGGTATTCTTTGATATGCTATTCCTAAAAGGAATGCGAGAGCTTTCCATTCGAGGCGCATGAGACCGCTATTTAACGGGTATTAAATTTGTAGTTACTTGTTGCTACAATAAAAAAAGGAGAAAAAGGAAATAAAGAAAATATTATATAGAAATTAGCAAATTTACACACAGAAATAATTTTATAGCAAAAATCGCTACAGGATTTTGTAATTGTAAAGGCATAGACCGACATTTCGCAGCAATTAGTCTCAATTTAAAGTTATTTAAATGAATTTTCTTGGGTCGAGAGAACGTCGCATCCCATCTTTGACCAATGAATTACGTCAAACGTTCCTGAGCGGCCGTTTCAGTAGGCTGCACTCAATTACAATTGAAAAAAGGGAGATCGATCTGTTTGCGAACGGACTGGCTCACAGCGATGATGAAACATTGCGAAGGAGCATTACAAGAAATATATTTCGTTTTGTCGGACTGAATTATGTCGTCAAAAGCATTACTCATACGTTCAATATTTCATAAGAGCGAAATTTCGAAACATTTGGCGTGTATGGAAATATTTATCGTTCGTTTTTGCGAACGATCGAAAGAGCAAAATTGGACACTGACGCTATCGCGCTCACATGCGCGCCTAAATGAAAAGCCCCATTGGTGGAAAAATTCGCGTCATCGGTGAAATACTCATCCGTGATGCCTTTTTGTTCCTTTTCCCCTTTTCTCCGGTTCTTATCGCGTCTCCAAGTATCTATCAATTTTGATCAGCGTCGGCGAAATTGCCGTGGGGAAGTGCTCGCGTTGCGTGAATCGCGATTTTCAGGGGAGGAAATGCGCCCGTGTAACGGCGCCCAATGGTAATAGACCGACGAACTTCATTTCCAGGATTCGCGTATATTTCGCATTTGAGTGGCCGTTGTCTGCCATCCGCTTCCCCTTTTCGTCCGTCCGCGCTTGTTCATTCGTTCACGTTTAAAATCCCATCTGAGTCTTTGAGCCAGATCCTCTGTCGACTTCGTGCGCGTCGTTTCGCTCCTCGTATATCCAATATTCGCGCCCGACGCGGAGCTCGCAGTCGCCGAAATTGTTTGACGATTTAAATTCGAAAGTCACACATAACGACGTAACCGCGTCGAAATTTTCAAGCGACAGTGTCGACCGTGTAGCGTGAGAAAGATTGTCGCGGCGAGAGAAGCAAAGAGAGAGAGAGAGAGAGAGAGAGAGAGAGAGAGAGAAAGAGAGAGAAACGTGATCGTCAGAAAAAAAATTAACAGCGTTTATACTCGCGCACGCTTCGATAAGCCGATAATTAAATTTGTATCGTTTGAAAAAGTTCATTTTCTCTCCGTGTCGTATCTTTCGATCTCAGTTAAACAATTCCCACTTGTGTACTCGCGTCTGTAGAATGCAATGCGAGAAGAAACATTATCCGAGATTACAGATGACAATTATCTGCACGGGCAGAATATTATGGTTTTTTTTTTCGTATAAATTTTTTTCAATTTTGCTATGCTTTTAGTTGGTCAGAAAGTCCACGCTGAAAACATTATTTTTGCATTTGGGATCAGAATGTTTGGTATGTACAATTTGATTGGTATTACCATGCTTTTACTTTTACAAGCATATGTATTATTGAAAAAGCAATATACACATGTAGCGGCAATTAAAGTGTCTGGTTGCAATTACTAAACATATGGTTGATCCCGTTTTAACCAAATTATGGTTCAGTGTATCAAATTTTCGTTTTAATCCCTCTTTTTCAGTGACAATAAATTACGGAATGTCGATTTATTTCTCGAAATCCTACATCGCAGTTTTTACTATAAAATTCCCCGTTTAAAATACAGAGGAAAAGAATATCACTGAGACTTCCTGGTACTTGATGACAATTTCCTCGAAAATTGAGAGTCGTGCGAGAATTTAATTAGTTCGCACGTTTCGCTTTAATTTCAAAGAGAGTTACTTGATATTAGTCGAGAGTCACACGAAGGGGTTGCACGCGGTCTGATCCTCCCCGCTGTGAGATATATTTCTTCAGGTATCAACGCGAGTAACTGCGCGTAGCGCTGGAAGCAACAGTCGAGTGTTGACGACCTTGTCATTGTCTTGTTTCTTGGTCTCTAAGCCTACCTTTATCCTTGTTTGCAATAATAATAATAATATCTGCTTTATTGCCATACACAGTAAAGAACATCCAATAACGCATGAGAAATATACCACAGTGTGCGACTAATGGCGTAACAAACGTTTAAATGGCGTTTAAAACTTCAGCTAAGTAAACTAAATCCAATGTAATTAAATCAAGTTAAACTAGTTAAATTCTCAAGTTAAACTAAACTACTCTAAATTGAATCTTATACACCAAATAACGCAGAATTTTGTAATATTAACAAGTAACACCACCCAAGTGCCACACGCCGATCTTCTTGAAACTTTGCACACATGTAGTACATCGAAAAACATTAGACACGCATTTTTTTATTTTGGCTAACAAGGCATTTTAAGGTTAGAAAACGCATTCGAAAATTTAACACTCTATAGCAGCATGATAACTAATGCTACTCCTGAGCGTCATTCTTTTACAGCTTTTACGACATTACTCTATTATAATTTCATTGTCTGAATGTTTCTGAAGTCGCTAATTATGATTTTGATATTAGTTTCGCGAGATCCAAAATGGCGTACAGAAATCGCAGACATTTCAAAGACTTTATTCAAAGTCAGTTTCGAAGAAGTTTTTTGAATCTCGCAAAACTAATGTCAAAATCATAATTAGCGCCTTCAGAAACATTCAGACAATGAAATTATGATAGAGTAATGTCGTAAAAGCTGTAAAAGAATGACGCTCAGGAGTAGCATTAGTTATCACGGTGCTAAATGATAAAGTGTTAAATTTTCGAATACGTTTCCTAACCTTAAAATGCCTTGTTAGCCAAAATTAAAAAATACGTGTCTAATGTTCTTCGATGTACTTCATGTGTGCAAAGTTTCAAGAAGATCGACATGTGGCACTTGGGTAGTGTTATTAATAAGTCTAATACTACGTATCACTATACTGAGAGAAGACTGCGCGAGATTTGGTTGGTCTGTATCGCGGAGATACAAGTCGGTTTCACGATCGGGTTCCACCATCGTCGCGCAAAGTCCTCGCCGCGATAACAGCGAGATTTTTCTCGTGCTTCCTGTTGCAGACGCTGCCGCCCGGAGGATGGAATGAACGCGAGAACGGAATAAATCGCAGAGAAGGCGCGTGCTCGTGGAATGAATTACTCGTGCCACAAGAGGACTTTCTGCACCTGCTCCACCTGCTCCTCAAAGTCCTCCTAGGGAAGCCGTCGCGCTTTCGACCCAGTCGATCGAAATAATGCGATCGAAGCGCATCAAGAGGCAGGCTCTCTTCAGGTTGCTGCGATACAGACAGTGCGCCAGGTGCTGGAAGATAACTTAGCGCATCGGAGAGTACTCGGGGCTATAAATTGGCGAGGGACATCCGACGACAGAGAGGCAGAGAGAGGACGAGAGAGAGGGATAGAGAGAAAGAGAGAGAGGGAGAGAGAGAGATCGACGGAAGTGGAGCACAAAAAATAAATACACGCACGAGAGCAGACGAGACTGATCGCGCTCGAGCGTAATCTCACCCCACAGACTGTGATCTTTATTCCTAAACACCGACTGCAGGTTCTCTCTCTCTTTCGACGCGTGCACGCCGCCAAAAGACTGATCACATTGTAGACTTTCTCAGCGCCGTCGCCGAGAAACCGTCGCGGCAACAATCCGTATCGATCGAACCGGCCGATTGTCGTCGCGAGTACCTTGCCCTTCCTTTTTCCCTTCGCGCCCGCGACGAGTGGCACCACGTTCTCCCCGAGTGTCATCTGTACGCCTCGAGACTCCCGCGTCGTCCGAGATTGATGGCAGTACTGAAACCGTATCGTCTCTCGTTCGCGAGTGCTTATTAACGTCTTCATAGGGCGTGTACCGATCGCGCACAAATCCGAAGAGAATCCCCTTCGTGGAGCCAGCGGGACATGTACGCAGAGTCGTGTCGTGTTCCAACGACCGCATAAACGACGTCGGCGAGACACGAGCCTCATCGTATCAGAGGAACAACGTCGGTCGGGTGTCGGCTCGCCGAGCTCGATCACGGGCGAGTCGAGGTCTCCTCGACACCGTTCTCGATCACTTGAGAACGCCGTTCTCCATCCCGCGGTCGAAGCTTGGCGCGTCTCGGGGTAGCCACGCGAGGACGATCGCGCTCGTGTCCCCGAGGTCGCCGGGAATTTGCCTCGTGCTAGGCGAAGAGGCCAGGCGGGACGATATTTGAAGGCTTGCCGAACTCCAAAGAGGAGGAGAGAATCGTGACGTTGAGGAAGCAAACTCGAGTGGTACTCGGCTCGAGCCGCCGATAGCTGGAGCGAGCGAACGGCTCGTTCTGTTCGGCGAAAAATTGTTTCGCCGCATCGGCAGAAAGAGGATCGGCCGGCTCGTTATAAAGCCATTCCGCGTCATCGACGAGATCGCGAAAGAATCCGCGAAACTTCGGGCTCCGTAATATCCGGACAGCGAGGGGATCCGGAGGGGAAAAGGGGAGCGGCGGAAAGGTAATAATAAAATTGAGGAAGAGTCACAATTAAAAGGGGACGCAGGGGCGGTCGGGGAGAAATATAGGAGGGAGGAGTAGCTGGAGGCGGGCACAGGCCGAGTTATTACTCGCGAGTGAGCATTTTAAACGTTCAGATCGAGTGGCAGGAAAGGATCGAACGGCGGAGAAGTCGAAGAAGAGGCAATTAAGAAGCGGAGGAGCGCCGGGGGTGGCGGCGGGGCTGATTGGTCGAAACATGAAAAGGCGGGATTTGAGCGGATGATTCAAGCCAGCTCGGCGCATCGTGGAGAGATATTTCAGAGGGCAGAGAATTAAGTCGAAAGAACGAGATTTTCCGTTCGGTACGCTCGCGGAAATATATACGGAAGTTCAATGGACGTGGGAAAAAACCCGTGGCGAATTCTCGCCTATGGCCGCCGAAAATTGCGCCTCTAATTAGCGAGAATCTCGCGGTTGTTGGAGTTTGAGTTTTCGGCGCGTCGTTGGAGCACGCTCTCGGGGAAGGTTTCGGTTCGGCGTGGCAAGCAGAGGTGGACGTCAAAGGATACTTCGCGGGGGTAGAAGAGAGAAGCATAGCGTGGGAAATAACTGTATTGGAAACTCGCTGGTCGTTTTCCTCCGGCGTCGCGAAAGAATCCGGCAGGAAGGTTCTCGACTCGCTCGGTGGACATTAGTGTGCCGCGCCGCGACGATCTGACGTCCGTCTTCTGGCCTTCCGGCACGCGGAAGAGCAGCCGTGGCGACACGGGATCAACTCATCGGGAATTCATCCGGCGTGCCGGCGGAATTCGAGGGATAAGTCGCGACCCGTGTCAAGACGGATCGCTGGGAATTCATTTGGTATCAAGAGACATGGTTGTGTCTCGCGCCCAGTGCACGCGGGAGCAAAGCTGGAACGACACACTTATGGTTGTTCACGCGACTTCTTTGGCTGAGCGGAGACAGAATTTCGAGTTCGATCGTAACTGCTAGTTTGATTGAATCGATTCCTGAAGGTCGATTTACATACAATAAAACAGTTTCCATTTTGTATCCTATCTGCTCTACGTATCAAATCACCGCATCCTCTAGAAGAAAGACCCGTGGTAAACGCCGAGGGAGTCGCGAGGTACCAAGATAATTGGAGATTCGTGTAGACTCGCGGGAGTGCGGACAAAGGGGTGGGAAGTAGCGGACAGTGGACGTCTTAATTGAAGAGGAAATAAGAGAAATGAGAGAGGTGGAAATTGCGGGAAGAAGAAGAAATCGAAATTTCGAAGCAGCCACGCGAATCCGGACTAGTGAACGAAAGACTCGATCGAGTTGCCTCCCGAACTCGAATTAGAAGCTGCTGGAAAGCGTTTTACTTTCGCGAAGAATATATAAGCTCTTCAATGACGAAGATCAACGGAGAAGCTGAGGCAACGGAGGAAACATCATCAAGGAAGAGAATCGTTCGCGACTAAAACCCAACGTCGCCCCCGATAAATAGAAGATTCTCGTCGCTCGCGAAGATCGTCGAGTAATCGTGTCGGGAAGAGAGAACAAGCCTGAACAGAACGAAGAGGAAAGACGCAAAGATGGAAGAAAATCTTGTAATTTGCTAAGCGATTCCGATACCAGCCTCGGTGTCATCGGCGCGAGGTGGGGGAGATCAAATTTTTTGCCCGCGGTTTCGCGAGAATAGACGAAGCGCGACACGGGATCGGAGATATTGAGACCGGCAAATAAAACGCCCGCGCGCGTTCCTCGCTGGGGTGAGAGGAAGCGAGCGAGACAGGGAGGCTGAAGGAGAAAGAAAGAGAGCAAAAGAGAGACGCAAAGTCCGTGGACGAAATTGATCCGGAGAGTTCCCAGTATTTTCGGCAGCGAAACTACCCCCCAGGAGCCTGTATTTTCGGGGTGGCAACAAACGTACAGTAAAGATCGTCGGCAACTGCGCCGAAAACTCAATTCTCGCCGTTTCGGGCGGCACGTGATCGTACTTCGAGGAAGTCGCCGAAAAAGAGAACGGCTCGGTCATCGCCAACGCCGATTGCTCCTTTTCCCTGATCGCGTGCGAGGGTCAGCCGGCGGCTGACGGGGGGCTTGCGAAGGAAGCGATTGCAATTTCCAGTCGGCCACACGTAACAGTAAATTCATTGCGCTGCTGGCGTAATCCTGAGGGACGAGTGTGCGCGCGGACGCGCCCGCGCGCACGTGTAGGGCGTCCTGAATCGGGATTCCGAGACTTAAGGCGAATACGAGCGCTCCGAGACTCCGTTTGTTAAGGACAGCACGTATACACACGGGGACTCGGCCGTTTTTCCAATCGCCGATACCATCCCGACGAAAACGAACGGCTGTGCCATCGCGGAGGGATCTCCGTTCGTGCCGGGGGCCGTCGTGTCTTCGCGCTCCGACATCCTCCCGCTGTGATGATCGACGGCAACCCGTGATCTCGCGCCAGGCGACAACAGCGAGAACAGCTCAGAGGTGGCGGAGAAGGCGCGGAGGAAGACAAGGCAGGATTCTCGCTCCGTGAGAATTTGGCGCGAGGCGCAAGCGTGAACTTTCCGCGAACGAGAGAGCGTGGTGAGAATCGGGAAACGATTTCATCGAAACAAGAATAATTCTTTCTCTCTATCTCTCTCTCTTTTCCTCTCTCTTTATCCGACGGTGGCTTTCCTCGCGCGCTTATTAAATATGGAAGGACGAAAGAAACTCAATCCGCGCGTTTGAATATTCTTGCCAGGCGTACCGAGCACCACGTCGTTCGCACGCGCTCATCGTCGTAACGGAGGCTCCGCCGACGTTGAAGAAGAAAACGGCAGCCAGGAAATAAGGGATTTCCACTGGACGGAGGATCGTGAAATATTCGGCAGTGCGTAGAGGCGGAGGAATCGGATTCGCGCCACCTCGTTTTGCGAGGTGAGCAATAGGGATCGCCCCGACAGGTCCTATCGCGCGCATGATAGGGTGCGAGAGGGCTGAAAAATTTAGACGGTGGAACAATTTTTATTCGTCGCAACGACCGCGCGCTCAATCGACGGGCATCGCAATATCGTAAGCTGTCTCGCGCGAATCCGATCGTGTGTGAGATGTGTTTGGGTGAGCGGGTGTATATGTGTGTGTGTACTCAAAGTTGTGAAAGTCTCGTTTCTTCTTCTTCTTCTTCTCGCCCGATAAGAAGATTCCCCGCGCGTCCTTAAGTAGTTGCAGCGAGCACGGTAACGCGAAGCCAGGAATTTATTGAACGACAGGCAAGAAATCGCGCGAGCGCCCGGCTTCTCTTCGGCCAGATCGTCCGAGGAAACGGTGGCGCAACGCTCCCACCCTTTTGTCGTTATCATCCGGATAGATAAGCAAAGGGCGGGATTCAGGATTCCGCTGGGAAAGGAGCGCGCGGATCTCATCGATTCTTTCCCGCGGGAGGATTTCATACACTTCTCGGACGACACAGCTGCACGAGCGAACGAGGGTGGAAACGTCAAGGGTCGTCAGGGTCTCGTGAAATCGCCATCGATTTATATACCGGGAAGAGACTCGCCCACGGTTTCCCAGACGGTCGCAAATCGTTTCCTAAGCGGCCTGAGAATAGACGAGGTAGGCACTCGGCCCTTCTCTCTCTCTCGAGAAAAAGAACCAACTATAATAGCGGAGGACGTCGGCCGACGACTGTTCCTGATTACGGCGAGGCCGTTTTCAATTTCTGGCAGAATAACGTCGATCTCGCGGACGGAAGGAGCTAGACGGTGGAAGAGTCCCGCCAGATTCGATTTGGTAACGGCATCTTCGTGAGGAGAGGGCGAGAAGTCGAAGGGGGTGGCTGTGACGCTTGTAGCGGTGATTGTGGCGGTGGCAGTAGCTGTGCCGGTACGTGAGTCATCGTGGGTGGTGTGTGCGGGGGCGTGAAAAGTGCAGCCGAGGCAATACAGAGCGGGGTCGAGCCTGCGGGGGCGAGTGAGCGCTTGTGTCGCGGGTACCGGCAATATATTCGGCGGCGAGAAAAAAACGCGTGACAGCTCTCCACCACGGCTGGTGGGGAAAAGACGACCCGGGTCGGCGGTGTCAGGGTGCGCTGGAGTGCTCGGAGGATACGTGGGATACACGGCCGTGCTTCCTTTTCGGAAAAACGTTAATGGAACTGCGCACGTGGGACGAGCGGCGACGCGCGGCATTTCCACCACCACCACCGCTACGCGACGACGACGACGACTACGCTGACGGACGATTAAGGGCGACTCATTCATTCACGTAGCTTCCTTCCGTAGCGACGTTCTCGCGTGTTCGCGCGCTACTCTACCCCGACGCGCGCCGTCTTCACGTGCGGAACGATATCGTGATAGCATCGAGGTATCGCGGCTGATATCGCGCTTCTCGTCGTGGGGCAGAAAAAAGCACGTCGCAGGAAAATTGGCGAACGAACGGGATTGCTTTCTGGCAAAATCGGGGAAGCTTCTGCGGAGTCGCGAATCGAAATGATCTGACTCGGGCCGCGAAATTCGGCAGTGAGAAGAGAAAGAGAGAGAGAGAGAAAGAAAGAGAGAGGCTGCTTGGGGATGAAAGGAAGAGAGAAACACTAGATCCCAGCTTCCCCGAATTCGATACTCCCGCAGAGCCTCTCGTCGCGAAACACCGTCGATTACAGGCCGCGTAACGTTAGACGATATCCAAGGCGAACAGCAGCGTTGTACTTTGTGGAGCGGAGTGCTATCGATTATATCCGAAACAACGTTCCGCGTACTATTCACGACCACGAAATTAAAGCACCGGATTGACTAGTGCACAGAGCACTGTATCGGCTGCTATCGGCATTCAGCGTACTCGACGGTTGCCGCATTAACGAGCTCGCCCGAGCGTGATCTCGCGGAAATATCAGCGATAATTCACGGCGATTGGACTTTAATTAGCGGCCTCTCTGGAGCCCGGTGAACGTCACGATTGGTCGAGGATAAACGAAAATCTCGACGAGGAAGCGGCCAGAGGAGAGAGCGCGTAGAAAACATTAAAGTGTCGGGTCAACGAGGTCGGAGGTGTGCTTATGTGCCGTTTGGTGAACTCGAGCACGTGACTATCACTTCCCCTTCTTCTTTCCCTCTTAAAGAACCGGTGATAACCTTAAGGGAAATTCCGAAACAACAGTCGTTAATAAAATCGTGCGCGCGACAGTGTCCCGCGAGCGTGACAGAATTCTTGAATGAGACTGGACAGGCAGTTCGCGTAAGAAGATAGATTAAGGAAATTTTTCATAAATCATTCGTCGATTATACGTAAGAAAATATCTTCGTTGTGCTCTCGAGATTAACCCCGTTCCCCGAAGGATCGCCGTATAAGAACCCCGCGACGGTTCTCGCGCTCTGCCGGGGCGAAGCAGAGGTCATTGCGATAGATTAAATCGCGGGAGAAACGTGACTCTTGGTCCTCGGGAACAACTACAGTAAACCAAGAGCTTCTTCAAGTTCCAACCCCACGCGAGGCTCACCTCGTCCCGCGCGAACGAGCGAGTCGATCAAGCGGCAGGGTCAGTTGTGCGTTATTGTACACGTCGTATTGTATTTCCACGGGGAAACCCGCGGGGATCAGTGTCGATAAGTGACTACAAGTGCGCGCTGTCAAGTGTGTCGACGCGAAACCCGCATGGAAGAACTCGGACCCATGCGTGATGGCGGCTCGAGATGTCCCGCGCGCTCCTTCGAGTTCCTCGCCGCCGTCCTCGTCCTCCACGACATCGTGCACAACGTTCCCCGGAGTCCCTCGACAGGATAGCATGGGCGCACCCGAGGACCGCGACAGTTAAATATGCGAGAGCTGAACGCCACCGCATGCGCTGCTTTGTACGACGGCGTCGAGTGGTCAAGCCTATGGAACCTGGTTACTCTAGTCCTTCTGGTATTCGTGGCTGTCATGGTGATAGTCGGTAACGTTCTGGTCATATTGGCCGTCTGCTACACCAGCAAGCTGAGGAACGTGACGAATATGTTCATCGTCAGCCTGGCCGTCGCCGACCTGATGGTCGGCACCGCCGTCCTGCCATTCAGCGCTGCCTGGGAGGTTTTTAAGGTGAGTGTCTTCGTGACGAGCTCTCTCTCTCTCTCTCTCTCTCTCTCTCTCTTTTTCTCTCTCTCTTTCTCTCGTTCACATTGTATTCTACGCCAACAAATAATACTCGAAAACTTGGTTTGTAGAATAAAAAGTCTATTTTGGTGAAATAAAATCGATTTCTGTAAAGTGAAGTTTATTTCTGCGAATGAATTTTATATTCCACAAGAGTAAATTTTCGAGTACTTTTTTCTTAATGTATCTGTATACACAGGAGAAACTACATACTATGTTCGAATAAGTTATTTATTTTAAATGTTTAACAAGTATTTATATACCCGCAAATCACAAATTCGTTATAAAAATCAAATTTATACTTTGAATCCTCTGGTAAGCATTTTAACCAAGCATATTAAATTCAAACAGAAATTCGCTTTCATTACCACATAGAGACGAGTCAATTTTTTTATTAAAATTTTATATTTTTGTGTAAAGAGAATAAAACTAAAAATTCTAATTTTGAATAATAATGAGCTTTTCTCAACTTTGTGACAGAATATTTTAAGATATTATCAAGAAAATATACTTTTTATTGAAGACAATCATTATTTCAAAGAACAGAAGTAAATTGGGAAATCGCTTTTCTTAGAATGATATTTTTCTGTATGTAATATTCTTTATAATTATGTACGCGGAGGAAAAAAATATTGGTTAAATCAACATGACAGAATTAAAAGCATTTCAGTTAGAAGAAACAGAATTTCTAGTTCTTATGAACCAAATTCGGTTCCCGAGCAACAGAAATCCTATTTCCTTCAACTAAAGCATATTCAGTTCGCCATCGGTTAATTCAACCAATCTTTTTTTTTCGTGTATAGTCGGTAGCAGAGGGACAGCGATATTTTCTTCCCGATAAGCTGCGGAAAACGCATTGTTCGACGCAAGTTTATTTATCGGCAATTATTAAAAACAAATTCTCTCCTGCTGGGTGCGGATATGTTGCGAAAAAAAAGAAACAAAAGGTTGCAACCTTTTCGCCATTGACTACACTACTGTGTGCCATCGACGATCGACGATCGAATGGCAAAAAAATATTGAAGAAAAAACATGCCTTTAAAACGAGAACATCCGGGAACATAGAATTGTCCTTCGTATTTTTATTACTTCCAAGCTTAAAAATAATTGTTGTACGATGTGGTATTCACGGGTGAAGGGCTCGCGACTGTGTTCCATGTAAACGATCCGCGTTTAGGAGAGTGAGTCGATTAATTCGGACATAATTTGACTTGTTTGGTTAAAGGGAAAAAAGTAATGAACACCGACGTCGCATTGATTGCCATTCGTTATGAGCGCGACACGAGGGATCAACGAGCATCGTCGGGCGGAATCGATGGAAAACAGTGACGGAGAAAATTCGATCGGGACTGTACGCTGTGACATGACGAGCCCGGTATCGCGTTTTATATCGAGTGGCAGCGTACCAACGACATCCCGCGTTTTCAACCGTCGTGTCAATGGGCCTGCATCTTGAATCGGCGTTCACTTCGTCGCAGCCGATAGTAATAGCAGTACGTTTTTCACGCGACGGTCGAGCACAATAGCATCAATCGCGTCGGCACGGCGAAATTTCACGCGCTCGCTAAAGTGTGCAATTTACAGCGGGATGGAGAGGTGCAGCCTCTCGCTCGAATATCCTCTCGCGATATCCTCTCACAATATCCGGCTGCCGTATAACGTACATTGGACGCGTATTATTACGATGCCAGAGTGAATATTGTCCGATAAAGCGGAGACGCGCGCGTATTTCGTAAATTCGACAACATCACCTTTCAGAGTTGCATTTAGGGTGACCAATTTTTCATCGACAAATTTCGGGGTATCAACTTTAAAGGATCGGGACACAAAAATATCAGGTTTTTTTCATTGGTTACAAAATACCTTTCAATATTAACGTATAAACATATCTCTTCTCTTGGTTATTATACATATACAGATATATCTTGACATATTAATTTTTTGAATAGGTTAAATAAATTAGATACACGTGGGTTAAATAAATTAGATACACGTGAGTTGCATGGAGTAGGTAGGCAAGTAACATATTTATCCATTATTATGTCAATTTATTGGTTATTATATGTTATTTATTATTAGGTTATTATTAGGTCAATATCAAAAAACAGAACGTAGCCTTTTATTATTTTTTTATATAAATTATTGGTTTAAAATTAGATTGATAAAATTCTTGAAATAAATTCAAAGAACAATCAGCATAACATGTACTCTTATTACACAAATAATAAGTAATAATAAAATTTTATGTCATTTATTTTACGTCATGTGACAAATCAAGACAAATGACACTAAATGCCGAAAATCGGGATGCCTCGCAAAATTCGGGGCGACTGGTCACCCTAATTCCACTTCAAAACGTTCTTTTCGATGAAAATTTTACTGAAAACTCATAGTAATATATTTAATATATATTGCGGATTTTCAAAATATTCGAATATATTAAAGTCTATCTTAAAGTAGGAACAATTTAATATAGAAAATGCGACCTATATGAGCTTAAAATGGAGCCAATTGATAAGTCAATCAACAGTTAATTCATCTGAAAATGGAGAAATGATAATTTAATATCATCTCAATTTGAAGTTGAAGGATAGTTTGAACAAGAAAGGTAGATTCACCGCATACGTTCGAGAAAGGATAATTCAGCGCGTGCATGATTTGTTTGAAACAACGAGATCCTCCCATGAATTACCGAATTTGGCAGTCGCAAAATCACGATTTGGCGAGGTCGTACTCTCTTCACATTAGATTATAGGTTCTCAGTGAAATTTTCCTCAAAAGGGATGTTTCGGTACGAAACCCAAGTTTATAAAAGCGGTACGGATTTCAGCAATCGCGATTTGAGGATAATTCCCGGCAACTACGGATCTTGTTTCGGATATTTCGCCGCGCAGTTGCATCCACCTCAGATGTTTCGCTCCCGCGAAATCTCTATGACGCCGTAATGGTGATCCGCGTAAAATCGTATATTCCTCGATGCTGTAAGCTCTCGCCATAATACACCTCTCGTCCGTTGCCTATTCGGCGAGGCTGTTGCAGGAAGCGACCTGCACGACGCGCGGCCACCGCTTTTTCCTCGACGTCCGGCGTTTCCCCAGCGAACAGGCTGCCTTCTCGCATGCTACGATATATTCTTCGTTGTGCACAGCAAATCTGACGGGATATTATTTCCGGTCGGCGATTTCCATCTGGAGAAGATACTGCGTCGTCGTTCGAAAAAGATCTTTATCGTAAGACGTAGACAGGACACGGTCTTCTAGCTTCGACGTCTATCTTCGAGGACTCGTTGCATTATCCTTCCGAGCCTCCGACGTCGATACGATTAAGACGAAGTCGCAAGACGAGTCGGTAGAACGGCACTTTATCCCAAAGTCGCAACGAGCCGTGCCGGTTTAAGCGGGATTCGCGGAGGGCGCAACAGTTTGTTGGCTTTTCCCTTCGGTCCTTCCAGCCTGGAACTCGGAGTCCCACGTGTCTGTGATATTCGCCATGTATGCGCGCCTAGATACCTGTACATGTGCGTGTGTGCGTGTATTCAGTGAGCAACCGGAAACGGAGGTCGGTGGATGGTAGATGGCACGGTTATGGAGGCAGCGAGCTTCTCTTAGCCCGACTCGAAACGAGGTGCTCCATTTAGCCGGAGTTTACACGATATAGCACGAGTTAGCTCTTCTTTCCTTCGTTCTTAGCGCACTTATCGCAATACACTCTTTCCGCGAGGAAAAAGGTCTTTCCTCCTCGTCGCCTCCTGCTTCCGGTCGAGAGGTCGGTCGAGTACGATGCTCTCTCGCGCACATCCCGTGAGCGCTTATTACTCCGACGGGGATGAAGCAGCAGCAATAACGCGAACTGCGGGCGCGCAAAGATTGACATTTTCCTCGCACAAAAGTGTGAGAGACGAGTGTGAGGTCCTCTCTCTTTCCTATCGACTACGTGCGACAACCCCGAGAATGGGCGTTCTCAAAGGGGAAACTTTTCGGAGTGATCCTTTAGTACATGTCGCGTTGCTAGTAGAGGGATAAAACATACAGACAGACAGATAGACAGACGGACAGAAGACGGACAGCACGAATTGAGGACGCGAGTCGTAGTAGAAATCCCGCGGCAAATAATGAGGGCTAATTGCTGGATGCCAATGCATACGCGTTAGATTCGTAGGTGAAGCTAATTTTGAACAGGTGGTTGCCGTTCCGCGTAGAAGCGCTCGCGCGCGTTATATTGCCCGTCATTATGCGAATGCATTGTGCGTGCAAACGCGCCGCGCAGACGCGCATACCGCGCGGTGCGGTGCGGCGCAGTACGGGATTCCATTGTACGTGATTGCATTGTGAATCACCATCGACCTGAATGAGAATCCGCCCGATTGACACGTGCTCGACCCGTCGTCTTGTTCGTCCGCGCTTTGTGCTTTACGCGCCAAAATTATAAAATAAACGCCCGCTAATGAAGCAATTGCACGCGATAATAAATCCGCTTTTGCTCGCGACAAGTTTTTGATCCTGACTGTCGCGAGATTTTTTACCTCGTCTCGCTGGACTTTGAATTTAGCACTTTCCATCAACGAGAGGATCCAATCAAACGTCGTTTCGCGCCTTAATCCCCTGTAGTTAATTTTTCATTTCAGTAATTATACGAAGGACAGTCGCGTTGGAATTCGGTCGAGACGAGGTGCCATTTCGTTGCCTGTTCGTTCGCTCTCTATAAATTTCTTGGAGTGAAGTTTCAATGAAAAACTAGAACGAGTCACTTGAATTCGAGCGATTTTTTATTCATGTAGAGTATAAGTTTTGCGAATTGTCCGTGAATATTCCCATTCGAAATTGAAGACTACATTTGATATACATACTTTGTTTGCCATCTTTTTTCTCACGTGGGATACTCAGATATAAATCCAGAGCTAGATTTGAGTTCTTTTTATTTCAATCGCATAATATATGTAACATGACATTTGTAATCACAATTTAACTGAAAAAAATCACATCTACTCCATCACATCTAAATCTGAGTATCTCGCCTAAGTCTCAAGTAACAACTATTAGCATTGTTCACGGAGTCAGGATCTACCCTAAAGCTGGAGTGAAACATTCGCTTTTGCGATCTCGAGTGGCAGTGTTTTCGCTTCGAGTTAAAATACTACCTCTTTTCATTCAGTTTCCGACGAGATTCCACTCCAACAAACTTGGAGAGAGTATCTTGGATAGTAAATACGTTGACTCACGAAGAGAGTCCCCGCGTGGGTTCTATTGACATGTAGTAGCGCGCATATTTCTCTTAAACGTTTCTCTCTCCCTCCTCTCTCTCTCTTTCTTTCTTCCTTCCCGTCGAAAGGTCTGGATATTCGGAGATTTCTGGTGCTCCGTGTGGCTGGCGGTCGACGTTTGGATGTGCACCGCGTCGATATTGAATTTATGCGCCATCAGCTTGGATAGGTACTTGGCTGTGACCAGGCCGGTCAGTTATCCTCAGGCAAGTACCATTCAGTGCCTACCTGCGTGAGAACGATTATCCCGGCGAGCTCGGCGTGCGTTACACAATCGATCGATTCGTCCAGGTCGGCGCGTTCATACATGACGCAACTATCTGTCGATACAGATATCCCGCGCGATGCGAGCGTATTTCCGATCGAGGCACGAGACACGAAGCAGAAGCAACGTTCCAATCACAATGTTACATCCGCTTGTTGACTTTCAATTTGTCTCGAAAATTCGTTCTATTCGAAATCTTCTGTGCGTCACGCTCAGTTTCAAAGCCGATTTTTCTTATTAATTGTCCAAGTTATTAGATTTGTTTGAAATTGTTGAAAAATTTAATTGCCTACGTTTATTGAAAAATCGCACGAGTCGGTAATAGCGATAGGCGCGGCTTTGTCCTTCGTCAAGGTAAATCTGCATATCGGAAAACCAGCAGAGCATCGAAGCGAAACGCCGAGCTAAAACGCTGATAAGTCGACAGTATCTATTTGTATCATGATCGCATGCCTACGTGACTCTTCGCGGGAGCCGCTCATTAATCTGCTCTCCTTTCGTTTCCGTAAATCCAGCTTATGTCGACGAAGAGGGCCAGGCTGCTGGTGGCGGCCGTTTGGGTCCTAAGCTTCGTCATCTGCTTCCCGCCTCTGGTGGGCTGGAAGGACAAACGGGTACGTAACCGCGGCTAATCCGCTCCGTTGTTACGAGAGTTGATTTTTAGTCATTCGTTGTCGAGTCTCTCCCGCCTGTCCGGCTCGATAACCGGGTCATTTCTTTCTTTTCCACACGTTTCATCACCCACACTTTCCCTCCCTTTCTCTCTCTTTCTCTCTTTCTCTCTTTGTTTCTCTTTATCCACCTGTCTGTCTATCTCTCTGTTTTCACAGTCGCATCCCACGTACAACGTGACGTTCCCGCTGTACAGCCCGTCCAACACTACCACTATTCTCGTGCCGGTCAAGCCGTGTCCATGGATTTGCGAGTTGACCAACGACGCCGGCTACGTCGTCTACAGGTAGGTCTCCCGAGGTCGTCCTCCCAGCGTCTCGTCTAACGAAATTTGTTGGACGTATCACGACACACGCGAGATAGAAAAAGCGCGCGTGCGCTCAAGCTCTCTCACCATCGTGCTTTACACGTCGGGGCAAATTGGCTTCCCGCATGCTATCGCACACTCTCAATGGTAACGACCGACCCAGCGACGGCGAGAGATGCGCGTAGAATTTGCCGTTCTCCCTCGTTCTCCTACTCGTTAATAAATTATTGTGCGATTTCATCCGCGCGGGTCTCACGTTTCGTGGCCTCGATGTTTTCGTGTCGAGATTAAACCCCCGTGATTAATCACTGCGGTATACACCGTCGAAATAATCCGCGCGGTCAAATAACGTACGCTCTCGCGAAACAAGGACAGAACATTATAAGTAAAGATAAGTACCAATACCGGGACACTAATAACATTGGTACCTAACTCTGGACATCTTTATTATTTTCTAAATACGAATTTAAACTTTTGATGTAGAATATATGTATTTATATTGTCTATCACTCTCTCCCTTCCCCAACTCTATCCCTGTCTCTCTCTGTTGCAAAACTATGCAAAATTTAGTCCAGATTGATCAAAGGGGTTAATAGGGAATATACAGACAGACATTCGATTTTATATACATACACGGAAAAAACAATTCCATTGGTGCAACCGAATTTCCGGTTTCCTCAAGGATCAGACGAAAACTCAGCTGCAGGAACAGAAAAATTCATTTATGAGACTTCTGTATAATCAATTTTTCTCAGTTGTCTCAACCGAGTTGTAATATCACTGAATGTTCGGACGAATATTTTTGGTTGCGACAACAGAAATATTAGTTTATATAACAGAGAGGTATCGCTTCTGATCACCTAATTTTCAGTTGGTTCCCATTCGGTTGCACCAAGCAAGATTTTTTTTCTGTGCATATATAGATATGTTGGAAGTTTAAATATTCGTATTTTTAAAGACCAAACCAATAAAAATGTCCAGAGTTACTATCGTTATTAGTGTTCAGCTATTGGTGCTTTTGCCGCAACTCGAAATTCCGCGTCGTTCAGGCCGCGCCGGTAATAACTGTTTCTATTTCCATGTTGTTATCGTATTACGTGCATGCATCAATCAAGACGCTCCATATGCATGCATGCATGCACAGTTCGTTGGCGGTCAATAAGTTAATAAATCGTTAACGCACTCGAGCGTGCGTCCGAATGCGTTTCGAGTGCTCGGCCGCCGCCATCGCCGCCGCAGCGCTCGATCGCATCTTCTCGGCCTCGTTTGTTAAATCCCGCCTGTCGAATTAATATTCGGTGGTCTGCGTCGAATTGCGCGCGGCCCGAGCACTGTCCGATACACACGAGACGAACGGGGGCGCGGGTTCGTCGCCGCGGGAAACGAGAAACCGCGGTCAGGGTGACGCGCGGTCAGGATGTTGGAGAAACCACGTTGGCTCCACATCACGCTCTTTTCTCTGTCGCAGCGCTCTAGGCTCCTTCTATATACCGATGCTGGTGATGATGTTTTTTTATTGGCGGATCTACAACGCCGCGGTCTCTACGACGAAGGCGATTAATCAAGGCTTCCGGACAACAAAGGCCTCGAAAATGCTCGGCACCAGGTAAACCCTGAACCCTAAAAATAGACAGCTGTCCATTTTCCTTCCCGAAATTCCCGTCCCATGATCGTCGTGGCGAATTTTTATGAAGATCTTCGGAATTGCTTTTTTTGGAATTTTTATTTCAAAATTTATTCTAGAATTTTTAAAGTTCCTATTAAATGATTCTTATTTTATATTACTTTTTTTGTCTTATCGATTCCTTTCAACGTCTCTCTGCGTTTATAAATGATTAGCGTGCAATGTCGATAGTCAGATTGGTTATGCCCCGTTATTATATCGTTATTTTCGTGGCTAATATCGCGCGTAAGAGTTCACACTTAAAACGTGCCATACCACCGTGCTTCGCTCCCTTCTGTCTGTGAACTCGCGATTGAACTTTCCTTTCGCGCGCGAGGAGGCCTCTTTATGCCGCGGGAGCTTTGTTATGCTTCTCCAGAGCGAACATAATGGAGCACCTACGTAAGAGCGCGACTCGTTCCTATTCTTAGGTGCAGATTCGACGAACAAAGACTGACCTTAAGAATACACCGCGGCCGCGGTAGCCTCCAGAACGGAAGCAATAACGGCAACTCGAGGAGCCCGGACTCGAGCAGCCGCTGCTCCGTCAAACGGGAGAAGATCAAGATCTCGGTCTCCTACCCCAGCTCCGAGACGCTCAACACCAAGTGCAACACCCTCGAGAGGACGCCGTCGAGGTGTTCGCAAATCTCGGTGCATTACAGCAACGGGCAGACGCAAACGCAGCTTTGTCCAGTCTCGCGTAACACGCATCTGAAGGTGAGTTGGGTCTCAAGAAGTGGAGCTTTCGCATCGCCCGAGCGATAATTAATCCTTTGACGACAGAATCTCCTTCCTCGTGCTTCTCTCACTGAAAAATTACGGAAATTCTTCAAAGGTAAAACTAAAGGATCGTGGCGCATCTGAATCAGCATAGTGACATTAATTATTAATCAGTATATAATCGAGTGCAAGTTTGACTGATAATTCATTGTATTAATCGATAATTAAAATTTGCTTTAAAATTTGTTTGTAATTTTGTATATAACGATTGATTAATTTTGACTGTTAATTTGCCGATTATTTTAGAACATTTCAATCGGTCGCCACTGATCCGACTTTTGACACGACTGGCTGATTTCGACATGACCTCTCTTATAATTTCTGCGACGAGTGCTTAGAGACTCAGAAGTCGCGCGAATCATTCCGTCTGCAAATTAGAATTGTACATTCATGAGAAACTCGCGAGATTTCTTTTTTCGAAAGGCCATTATCAAAAGTAATCAAAGCGAGCGAATTCCTTCACACATTGCGTCGGCGACATTTCGCAATCCGAAGGGGTTTTGAAGCACAACATGCGCTTTGTTTATCGACAATCGAGCGGTGGGGACTGTTTTGCAAAACGAAACGAATCAAGGGTTATCAGTTTTTGTTCGGCAAAGCCGAGGTACTCGTTTGATCGGACGCTATCGGGCCGTATAAACGCACCATTTCTCCCCTTCCTGCCGTTGTTTTGTTTTCACGCCAACCTCCGAGCTTTTATTTGCCATCTAAATCGTCGATCGTGATTATTCTGCCGCGTATGAGCACGCGGATTTACAGGCGGACATAACGCGAAGCAGGATATTGCACACGCATCCATTTTCTTTTTATGTTGCATATGATCGTTGATATCGCGCGATTACGTGACGGGATCACATGTGACGTTTCAGTATATCTTTTCATTTCAACGTGTAACACAAAAATTATAGGCATACGATTTTTCGCTTCTGACGTCATCGAAGACAATCGACGAGCGAACAGTTAGTGCTGTTAAATACGCATAATTCTTCCTCTGATCCCGAGAAAACTTTCACTCGCCCGTGATCGTGCGTCTTGCACTTCGATCTCGCTTTTGAGGAAATGCAAGACCCGAGATTTCCGATCGACGCCTTCTGACGCCGCCGCTGATCGTGACGCGCGTCTTTTCGACGATAGTAGCCCGTCGTTCGTCATGTGGGAACGGCCGTTTTATAGCGCCCCGTAAATCCCGCGCGAAAGTGAATACGTATTTTATAGACCCGCGCGCGCGATGTGTGCAGCGTGTGGGTCGTCGTAAAGGCCAGCTTGTTAAATTCTCTTCCAGGTCGGCGGTGTCAATAGGATCGGCAGCAGCAAGAGACTGAGCAGACGGAGCAGCTGCGAGAGTCAGGTGACTGGCGACGAGCTGTCGCTGCGCGAGATAACGCCGAGCTGCGAGGAGAAGCCGAGGGTGATGAAGATGGGGAAGAGGAACATAAAGGCCCAAGTGCGTTCATATCAGCCAGTCAGTGCCACTTTGATACCTCAGCTCGGGCTGTCGAGCCTATTTCTCGCGCGTATGAGAACGAACGAGCAATGCCGGAAGCCGCGTAAAAGACTCATGAACGTTGTGACTGACCAGCGAACGGTATCTGGGACGCAATGATGAAAGAACTCGTGATAGAGGTGGTGTTAGCTCTTCCCAGAGGATCATAGTAGAACTATCCAGAATTTCTCGTAAAATCCGGAGAACACAGGACTATAGGAATCGATCTTAGAACCTGTGGTTGTCACATGGAAAAACCAGCATGATTGGCTGACATCTAAATCTGGTTAGTATAACCAGATTTGTGTGGGCCAACCATACTGTTTCCATGCAGTTTAGATCCAGAACTCGAAAGGCGTTGTCGTGGTGTTTTTAGGACTTTATAAGAAATTTTCTATGATATCTTGGGGAGCAAAAGGTTAAACTAACGTGGCATGAATAGACTCGTCGAATGTCTTTAGTCTCCTAAGTAAGATTCATTGATTGAGGTCGTGCGACTTGATGAATGTGAAATTTCTATGGGAATTAATTTTTGTCTCAGATGAGAGTCGATGAGAATTAATGTCGCGGTGACACACATACACACACCTCAGTGAAAATTAATCTAACTTGCGAAAATAATGATGGCAATAGTTCCGATGAAATATCTAGCGAACGAGAGATCACGAGAGGTCGTGTGCGCAGGTGAAGAGGTTTCGCATGGAGACGAAGGCGGCGAAGACGTTGGGCATCATCGTCGGCGGTTTTATCGTGTGCTGGCTGCCCTTCTTCACCATGTACGTGGTGCGCGCGTTCTGCCCGAACTGCATCCATCCAACCGTCTTCAGCGTTTTGTTTTGGCTAGGATACTGCAATTCCGCGATCAACCCTTGCATCTACGCTCTCTTCAGCAAGGACTTCCGCTTCGCCTTCAAGAGGATTATCTGCAAGTGTTTCTGCAAGCGACGCGCCAACACCCTGCGACGTGGCAGCGACGGCAGTCAATTGGCAATGAGGTCAGTGTTTTCCCTTACAATTCTTCGTGAAACACGCGCGCGCGATAATTGCGCGAACGTTCTTTCGGGAACGATCCTACCTGGATCTCTCGGAGAACGAAGCACGATTCGGATCTGCGCGAAGCGATTTCAAAGTCGAGCTCCAGCACGCTCCGCAAGCGTGCCTCCCGCAAATTTTCGAAACCCCAAGATCGCTTAATCCTCCTACTCCAATTTGCTCAGGGAATTACGAGATTCGCGCGAATAAGCTTGAACAACGTAGGAAAGATCAAAGTAACGCAGCGGAGGGACGAGAACACGCGAGAGAGAAAGATAGAGAGAGAGAGAAAGAGGGCGAGAAAAAGAGAAAGAGAACTCGTTCGCTTCGCCGCCGAGGTGGGAAGCATGATGTAACTAATGAACAGAATCCAATTAGCTGGGCGGAATCGCGTTAACCACTTCGGAATCGAGTCGCGGGACAATCGCGGGCGTCTCTCACGGGCATGGTCCTTTGTGTGTTCTCCGCAGGAACGAGCGTAGTCCGAGCTACTCGATCCGCGCGCCTCAGCAGGGGATCTCCATCGACGACTCGGACCTCGATCCGGCGTCGGATCCGACCCACTCGCAGAGCGAGTCCAGATGATCGTAGCACGTGCGGCCCGGCGCGCAGTGCGTCGTCTTCAACTCCAGGTCCTCCAAGGCGAGGATCTTCTCCTTCTGACGGCGGCGGTGCCGCGGGTCGGACGCCCGGGCTCACGTCGTCGGACTGTCGCGTCGCGCGGCGTCGTCACGCGGACCACCCGCCGACGCCCTCGGAGTGCCAACGTTAGACCATCCGGCCGCACGTCCCGCGCCGATCACAGACTGACCGACACGTCGCGCGCGTCCGCGTTTCGCGACGAACACGCCGCGACTTGGACGCTGCTCCGGGAAACACGATCATCCCTGCGGTTGTCGCGAATGCGCGCGAGGGATCGAAGTGGACGAGCGAGCGGCGGGCGACTCGTTCAGCTCTCCTGTTATTCCGTTATCCGTTGAAGAAAGTCAGCGAGTAGCTCGCCATTCGACTCGGCTCACCCTCGCGTCCACCTCCGGCCGATAAGCTCGACGTGGTGACCGTCGGCGGGGACACCGACCTTCGCCCGAAACACGGAGTGTGCCAAAGTGTGCGCGGCCTTTTTCCGTGGAATTGAATCCCGGCGCGTCCAGCTGGGAACGCGGCAAGCTTCTTCGTCGCGCGTATGGGCGCGATCGTCGTGAGGAAATTCGTGGGAAGAAGTCAACGAGGAAACGGAGGAGAAAAACGACTTCCAGCCCCGCAAGAGAGACGCGAATCTCATCACGCGCGCGCGCGCTTCTCGCGAAACCGTTTTCGCGGTGCTTCGCTTCGATTTGTACGTCGGCTACGTTAAGAGCTTATGAAGAACGGTCTTTCGTCTTTCGCGAGTGACCACCGTCTGGTGAATTATAGCGAGCCCCATCGTCAAGTTACACTTCAATGTCACGTGAATCCCGCGCGTATCGCCGCGGAGTAATTGCTCGTTCGTTCACCATCACCTCGAAACGATGATTCGAACGATGCGCACACTATCGCGGTGAAACAACCCACCATTGACATCCCCTTAGTCATTCCCGAGTTGAAAATTTAATCCTACTTTCGACCTTAATATTCCATTTAACATTTCCACTTTAATACTCTGAAGCGTATATCAATCTCTTTCAATTCTATTAACCTGCTAACTTTGCCGAGAGGTCTCTTAGGTTTTCCCTATAAAACTCACGGGTAATATTTTGTACGTTTTCTGTCATTTAGAGGCGCTTAGTAGGACTTCCATGTGTATTAAATACGCACTGATCTCTCAGAACATACAGATGTCAAAAAGTTCATGTCGAAAGTGGGACTAAAATTTCGACTTGGGTTGATTCTAGAAAATTGAGTCTGGAAGAAAAAAAGAGACTGGTTTTTCTAGCAACCAATATTGCAGTTAGATTTCTTGTTTGTATTCGGAAAGAGAGGTTCACAACTAAAACTAAAGGTAAACAACTGCCGTTGGTCGCCAGAAAATCCAGATTCTTGTAGAGCGTCAATGACTCAGGGGGGTCAATAATTGAATACCAATAATTGGATGTTTCTATCCACATTCTATCTACATTCGTCTCGCGACTGATCGCGCACCTCTTTCCACCTCCGATCAGAACAGCCAGAATCCCCGATCGCTCGCTTTCCTCTCACGCAAGCCCACCACCACTTCGCGATTGCTCCATTTATCCCAAAATCACGATGATTCATGGAGCCGCGTGTCGTATTTGATCTCCGCGTCCTCTTAACGCCAACTTCGACGGGATAAACGGTCGACCGGTCACTCCTAGACTAACTCCGACATCGGTGGTCGTTGTGTCGGTCGTGTCGTGGCCCTTTAACCATGACACGTTTCGCGTCGCCGTTAATGAAGACTCACGCTAGGAGACCCGAAGTCATCGACGCTCGATAATGATCCATCCGAATGCACCGGCACCGCCATCGCTCTCGGCGATCGAAGAGAGACGTGTTCGAGAGACGCGGGTATAACGAGCGCCACAGCAGGTCTATGTACATATCGGTATCTATGTGTACGCAATAACACGCTAAGTATGTCGTTATCTTCTACATAAACCGATGTTTTCGCGCGCACACTCGTATAAGTCGGCGTTTCTCCTCTTCCTTTCTCCTCATCGTCCTCCTCCTTCTTCTCCTCCTCTACCTGCTATTGCTGTTTTTCCTTCTTCTAGAATTCTCTCTCTTTCTCTTCTCCTCCATCCCGCCTTCTTTCCCTCTCTATTTCTTTCTCTGTTTCCTCAGCCTCCTCCGGCTTGCTACTTTCCGCATTCGCGTGATTTTCCAAGACACAGCTGGAACGTGGCTACGACTCTCGGAGATGCCGTTAATCCTCCACGTTTTTTTTTCTACGTAAGCCCGCGACTGTGTATAAAGGACATCATGTCACGTCGTTGTATTACATACACCGCGCGCGTGTACGCAACACATGTTATTACACGGCACAAAACAAAGCAATACGCGCCGAGCAGCGACACGATTATATTCCGACGCTCGCGTGCTGAAGGACTCATCATCCCCCTTTTAGATCGTTGCCCTTTAGCTAGGTTTCTATTTCGGCGAGAGGGGGCGGCGAGACGGCCGATCGACTTCAATGCGTGATTCGTGTATTATGTGATATGTATATCGTATAAATACGTAAGAAACACACGGATGAGAATAAAATATGTGAATACGTACGAACAGAGCTGTGAGCCCTCGTTATCCACGTTTCGTCCAGGTCAAGGAGGTCAACGGGAGAAGAACGCTTTCGAGATACGTACACCGCAGATGACAGTGACTTCCCTTTGTTGCAGTGTCAATTATACAGCAACAGGTAATTATAATCTAACTTCTGTCAATTGTTCTCGCTTACGCATACGTGACACGCTTTGACGAGTACAGCGGCTTGTAAAACGGTTCAGGTCCAACGAAGTTTGGAATTCACGAAACTGTCAAAATTGACAGTCATTACCGACGGATTTGCAGGATAATAATGTATAATTAATAACATAATCAGAATTGACAGTTGCGATTGGTAAATCCCGTTAAAATGACAAATCAAATTAATTAAAGTTGATAGAAAGGGGCATAAGCCGTTTTGCAACCCACTACACATAAAGATTTATTACAGCGGGGTACATGATTTCGAGATGAGAAAGTCTAGCACTTGGCTCGCTTAGATCGCACTGCTGATGTCGTCGTAAAAAAAGCATTTTCGAACGTTATGAGTGGGGAGTCGCGCGAGTGGGAATTTAATTTGCCGGTAAGGGCGCACGGCCGGTTGACAGATTCTCGGACAATAGACGACTCTGCTGCAGCGTTCGGCTGTCCTATGAAGGAAGAAGAATTGTGTATCGTGGATTTAATACCAGTGAAACGTTTTCCCAAAAATATTTCTCTTTTTTGTCTATTATCAATCTATATCGTGTTCTGTAGTTACAGTTGTCAGAGAACACGCTGAGATCCGTTGAGCTTAAAGGCAGAAGCCTTTAAGGTTGCGCGCTTCTGACGTTGAATGTAAATTGATTTTCGCTGTCGGCAGTTTACGAAGAGGCACGTTACAGAGTTTATGTCAGAGTTCATGTGAGATGTATGGCGCTACGTGTCAGTGACCGCGCTTGTGACTTCCGCAGTCGAGCAGGTTTCAATCGCGCGCACCTTGTCCCGCCGTGTTTCGGTCATCGACTCTCTCGCAGACCTATTACGAGCTCGGTACAATTCAATCTGGACCTCCTCTATGCTTCTGTCCTTTGTCTCCGGTACCAACGCGGAGACAAACACGGTGCCGATCAAGCTTGTCATGCCGAACGCGGCGAAGGACGAGGAGATCCCCATGAGGTCCACCATATTCTGGAAGCATCTGGTCACCAGAAAAGCCAACGTCCAGTTGCACATCGCAGTGGCGCAACTGGCTACGCTCTTCACGTTATTGCTGAAGAGCTCGTCAACCATCATACATGGTATGGGACCGAAGCCGAGGCTGAAAATCGCGACGAATATCGCGAGCGAAAGCAACGGGATCCAGAAGACGCTCGAGAGATCGTGCGAGATCTGAAATGATGAAGGCAAGCTCAAATGTGATGAGAAATCACGGCATGGAACGTAGAGATGTGCGAACTATTCGAATTCGAATGGAATCAAGTGAAATTCGATTCGATTCCATTTCGAATCCGAACAATTCGAAAATTTCGAAACGAAAAGTTTCGAATACGAATTGCACACATTAGCATTAACAAAGTACTATTAAAGACATCGAGCTTTACGGAAATTAGCATGACTTGAAAAGTTTGCTTTTAAGATTTTCTTCAAAAATATTAAAAGAAGATAACGGCTTTTAGATAAACTCTTACCGACAACTGTCGGATCGATATGTGTCGTTGCGCAGCTTTCAAGGCTGAAACTGTATTCCACACACGTTTAAGATAAGAGATATATATATTATATATCTCTTACCTTAAAATTGATATCACATGATCAATGTTATCTCTCTCATATTGGTCACTATTTTCATGTTGAATTCAATGATTATATTACTTAAAAATTCTTTCAACGATTCGATTCGATTCAAATGAAATTTCATCGATTCGATTTAATTCGATTCGACATAAAAAAATCTTTGATTCGCACATCTATAATGGAACGTTGAAATGTCAAATCATCAGTTAAGCAGAATTTGAATATATATCAAAAATTATAAGAAAGTTACTAGTATAATTAGATCAATGTGAAAATTATTAGTTTCACTGATGTATGTATAAATTATATAAACTGTGTTTATATTAATTGAATGTTAGCCCGACTGGAAATCGATGAACGTTTCACGATGAAGCTTGCCTGAAAGTGGAAGTATCCTGACAGCGTAAACATGCAGGTGGCCATCACTGACGCGCTGATGAACAACAGTATCTTTTTACCTGCTCGCTCGATTATAACAATCGAGGAACAGGCGGCGATCACTTGCACGGCTCCGACGATTACCGACGACATGATGGGAGTCGGCGACGAGACGCCTGTGGCGTCAAAGATCCTACTCGCGTAAAATATCAGTGCGTTGACGCCGGAGAGCTGCTGGAAAATCATTAAACCTGCCAAACACAGTGACTTGAGACACGGGTGTGATTCGGATCACGGTTGCAGGAGAAACGTCAGAATCAAATACAAGGAAGATGCTCGGAACTCGGAAAATAAGCGAAGTATTGAACAACACCGCGGAAGCCGAAAATACCAAGCATAAAATTAACGTGACGAAATAATGAGAAAAAGTAAGTTGAAAGAGAAGATTGCACGTTAACTTTATGATTATATATTGATTGTTAGAGCAAGAAGATCATATTCGTAGTATTTTAGAAGTATGCTTAGTCGATTGCAAGTATCATTTTTAAGTATATCCATTTATTTCGACGTACTGTGCGGGAACTTTGAACATGCATCTCCTCGCTTTTCGATCAAGAGTTCCGCAGCGAGGAACCAGGCGCCTTAAGATGAATAAGGCGGAACCAAGTGAATTTCGCGTCATCAACATCAATTATTCCGATGGAATTATCATAAATGATCGTCTGATTCGACGAAGTGAATGTGTAACGACCGAGTTAAACGCAACATCGAATATGTTGATTTACCAAGCGCGATGCAGATCGGCCGCCGGTGGTGCCTCAGATCCGAGATACCAGCTCGCGGTTCCGCGACCCGCAGCTCGAGCCTCGTCAATTCCGTCTCGATGCGATCGCGAGACGACCCTCCGAAGTGCCTGAGTGAGTCGTACGCCTCGTTCCTCCGACCTTGGCTGACCAGCCACGCCGATGATTCCGGCACGAACGGCAGGGAGATCAAAAGCAGCCCAGGCGCCGCGGAACACAATATCGCGATGACGTGCAGACTATCGGTGAAAGCTGCCAACAATTGTGTCCCGCTTATCATTCCAGGCGAGTTGTCGCGAACTTGTGTTCCAGAACTGACGCTCACTCATCATTTTCACGCTCCGCGTTTCCACTTTTAGCAGCGAGACCGCGGCAAAAGTCGAGGGTATTTTACACACGGAGGGTTCTCTTTCCTCTGACATTCTCACTCTTTCCTTACACAATACCGGATCCTTGAGACGTCACTACGTGAATGGCGCGTGAATAAAAATTCTACATTCAAGAATCACCGTGACAGTTCTGCAACTGTCTTGGAAACGCGGATGCTTCATTCATGAAGTTTTTCTCGATATTTTTCATCTACGTGTACACGAAGTTTGTTCTGAAGAAGGATCATTAATTCCACACTGCTGAACTCTTATTAAATATTAATTGTCTGCCGCGTGGATAAAGATCCTTCGTTCGAGGATTATCGACAGTTTCGCAGGCGTCTCAAAATCGCCAATATCGCATTTATGCAATTTCTCCGATGTTTCACTTATGTGCACACATTTGTGCCGAAGAAAGATCATTAATTCCACATTGCTGAATCCTCGTTAAATATTAATTGTCTGCTGGGTGGTTAAAGATTCCCCATTCGAGAATTATCGCAGCAGTTTTTTGCAAGCGTCTCTAACACGCGAATATTGCATTCATACAATTTCTGCAATATTCCGCTTACGTGTACAATCCTGAATAAAGATCTTTAATTCCATATTATCAAGCTCTCGTTAACTATTAATTGCCCGGCCCATCAATCGATTATCGATTTGCCGGACGACAATGTAGCCTGGAAAATGTTATGAACGGGGTCGCTTATATTTTCTTGTCGCGAGAGCGCGATGTTCTTTCTTTTTACCGGTGGCGTACGCGAAGAGGATCCCGGCGGTGATCTGCAACTGGAAAACTGTGCCAAGTAAGCCTCTGGTGCTCTGCTCGGCGATCTCGGAAATGAACATGGGAACAAGTACGGATGCTGCGCCACATGCCGCCCCGGCCACGAGCCGTGCCAGAAAAAGCCTGCCGATGGGAGAAACTCGATTACGTAACCCTGAGCAGAAAATCAATGACACCGCACGCTAAAATCGCTCTTCTACTCGGAGAGAACGTCGCGGTCGATATAACTGATGGATAAAATGTCCGTGACAGACAAAGGAAGAGAGAAAAAAAGAGAGAGAAAGAGAGAGAGAGGCGGAGGATTTCGAGATGTGATGAAAAAAATTCCATTGTCGCTAATCACGTCAGAGCGTTTTTCGGGGTGATTTTTTACCAAACGATTTTTCACGAGCGAATTTTTCACGTCACGCAAACCGATCGTACCAGTAGGAATTTGGATGTTTTCCGGCCTCTCATAACTCCCGCCAACACGACCTTTTGCTCTTATATTATATTCTTGGACCGTAAGAAAAATCATCGACCGTGTGTGGTTTGTCAATTCGCCAAAGTTTTACCGCTTACACTTTTCTCCCGACCTTACCAAATCTTGTTCCGCGCGAATGCGATAATGTACCAGCACGAAAACAAGGGCACGCTGGTGGCCCAGATCGTTCTCTTCCGGCCGAATCTGTTTGCCAGCATTTTCGCCGGCACGACGCCCGGGATAGCGCCGAGAGGGAGCAGCGAGGAGATCCATGAGGCCTCCTGGTTACTGATAGATAACGTGTCCTTCCTGTTGTAGAGCGGCAAGACGGAGGATGTCCACGACAGATATGTGCCGATAGAGAACGCGGCGAGTGTCGCTAAAAACACAACAGCGAGCATGCATAGCGATATCGGAGACACGTTTTGTCCCGGGAGTACGTTTACGAGCAAGCGCTTTATTCGATTTATCGCGAGAACACGTGCGCGTGCTTCGTCCCTTCGGAAATATTCCGTGTCCTGAGAATCCTTTCTCTTGAACGCGTTTTCTCCACTTGGCTGTCGAATCCCACGAGTAACGCCGGTGCACCGCGACCGCCAAGTTAAATTACATGGTCGAGAGATGTCTATCGAGAGAACTAGTTTTAACGGCGATACACGAAGTTCCGATTAAATCAAGACACCCGAGGATCAATATGGCATTCGCATACGCAGAAAACTATGGCTTTTCACGGGCTAATTCGAACACTGAAAGAAATCCGACAAAAAATTAACAAACGGATATTTCCGATCAAAGTATCGATGAATTTTTGTATCCAATTAAGATATTCGATTAAATTTAATCGAATACTTCCGATCATAATGACATTTCATCTGAATAAACCGATTATTCTGATGACATTTCATCAGAATAAACCGATCAAAAAATTATGAACCGATATTACTTATCGGATGTTTCCTGTTCGGGCACAAAAATTCATCGGTATTTTGATCGGAAATATTCGTTTCTTATCGAATAATTTCTCTCAGGGAAACTTTTCTAAGGCGACGGATACAGAGACGAAGTTTGCGCGTTTATTCGCGATTTACATATCCTTCCCATATTTACATAGCCTTCCCGAGTCATGGGAGCCTTGTTTTTTAGACGCGCCGCTCTACATAATATTATCACGAATGCCAAGTGTTCGTCGCAAAAGCGGCGCCCTCAAGTTCACACCGGGATCGGCGAAGCTCACTCACCCACAAGCAAACCCACGCATTGCGAGAACTTCAAAGTCGCTCGCTCCCGCCCGGCTTCCTCGTCTCCCTCCGCAATTAAAGGCATTGTGCATTCGTGCGAATCGCGCAACCGCGCGCATCAGCCGCTCAAAAACACTCGCGCGAAAACGAATCTCTTGGCGCGTGGGTCGAACTACGAACATCGAACTCTCTCGCGAGAGAGAGAACTCGAGTCGCGCTTCTTCTCAGATCTGCGCGCTGCGCCGTTATCCCTGATAATTCGCGTTTTATCGCGACGTCACTTTCTTATCGATGTTCCGTTATCTGTCGCGACCCTTGACCATTTACGTAAACGATCTCACGGCGCTTCACTCCTACTCTGTCTCTCTCCCCTTCTCTCTCTCTTTCTCTCTCCAGAAATTGTCCGCATTATTACACAACTCCGACGCAACTCTGCCGCGTAGTCATGCTAGCGAGCGGCATAATTGCTCGTAAATAAAGTTCATCTGCAGCCATTCAGCAGCGTTTGCACCGCTCTCGAACGCGCCGTGCATTTCGCATGTTGCATTCATTTATCACCGCTTCTTCCTTCGCCTTCTAGGTGCGATGCGTTCGGCTGCATCACTAAAAACAGCGCGCGGATGTTCCTTGATCGCGGGCGAAAATCGCTTGATCGAGTCGCAAGCGAAATAAAAAGAAATTAGTTTGATTTCCTTTTTTAATAAAATACTAATTTTTATTAAATGCACGAGTGTTTACATGTGTGTACAGTATTATAGAGAATTAGGAAAGGATAAGTGATAATACGAGACAATTTACGGAGATACAACAGCGGGGATTGCATTTTCCGTCTGTATTTACCTGAAATACGAACGATAAATGCACAGTCTACTGACAATCTCGAAAATGCGTGGTCGTTAATGTTCCCCTCACACGCTCTTCATTCGCGATAAGGATAATGAGAGCGAATTGATACGCATCGCGAAATAATTTACGTGATAGCGCTGCCGCTATCGCGGGAGTAAGCTCAACGATACCCATAGAAAAAAAAAAAAGAAGAGGGCGAGAGGAAAATGAAAATAAAATTAGTCTCTTAAGAGAGAACGCTCGAATACAAATCAAGTCCGCTCCTCCGCGTTTCCGCGAGAATGAATCCCGAACGGACTCGAGAAGCATTCGCGAAGATATTCCCTCGAAACCCCGACACCGATACCTATTAGAGAGACGAACGTGGCATTTGCATACAGATTTCCTATTGACGGATACGTCCTCTTCTTTTTGTCGCCGTTCGCGAGCGCGATCGCCGTTGACAAAACTAATCGGCAGCACGCGAATCGAAGGGCCGTCGTTTCCGATTTCACGCCAATTAAACGAATGTACACAGGACCACGATCCGTTTCCGCCGTCGTTTCGTCCTTCCGGCTCCTCAGCTCCCTCGATCGACAACGAAACGTCTCGCGAGACTCACAAGAGACGACGTATGTATAGTTGACTTGATATCGCGGGATCAAAATTCGCGAATTCGCTGCTCTGTCGGCGTTCCCAGAGATTCTCATTGCAGTGGAGAGGCTCGCGTAACTGCATTAACGTCTCGTTACAAATCGACACAAGTCAGCACCGCGCTCCGGAGGCGAAGCTTCACGGCCGTCCCGCGGGACATTCGCTACGAAGAGGGAGGGTCGTCACTTCGCCTCGGGCAGATTGGTCGCCAACACCCGGAAGCCGTTGTGGTCGGCGATGTAGTGCACCTGCTGGAGAATCCCGTTGGCGTCGATGTAACTGTAAGCGCCTCTGGTGGTGCCGTCCAACGACCTGGACTCGGTCTTGGCGCTGGAGTCCCCGGTGTAACTGTAGTCGTATTGGCCCAGCGAGTCTTGGGTGTGATGCAGCGAGCTGTGGAGGAATCTGTAAGGCAGCACCGGGAGCAGGTAGGGCGTAGGCATGGCTATCGGTCTCTGGACGTTGGCAACCGGCACTAACTTGCTGAGGTGCAGCGCATTCTGATTAGACGTTTGTTCCTCATCCCTGAAGAGCGTGTTGTCCTTCAGCGACGCCGAGGTGGGCAACGACAAGCCCGTGCTGGTGGCTGCGGTGGGAATTGAAGGCGCGGACGTTATCTTGGAGAGACTCGGATCCGGCTTGGGAATGTCGATCCTGTCCGCCTCCGACCTTGACAATAGGAATGGATTCTTGGTGCTCTATGAAAAAAAGAGATAGAAAGTTCATTATTTTGACGTTACAGCAGCGACATCATCGTTGAACGTAATATTTTTTACGGATGGAGAAAGTTGCAAGTGGCTTTTTGCTTGAATTACGAGATGGTACTTTGAAAATTGCGCTCATTGATTGGTATTCGTAGTTCAGCTTAAGGTAGAAGTACCAATGTCCGGACACGTACTTAATTCTGGGCATCCTTATCATTTGGATCTTTAAATACGGATATATTTAAACTTTCAGCATAGAATATGTATACATACGCGGGAGAAATAATTTCGCTAGCGAGTTCTCTGTTATTTAGAAGCCAAATGAAAAACTGGGTAGTAAGAACAGAAAGTTTCTACTCAGCCACTTGCTCTCAGTTACCTCGAGTTTTAATGCAGCTGAATGTTTTCTGTCACAATAACAGAGATATTATTTCTCGAGTTTTTCACCTGATCCTTACTCAGTTACACGTGCTGAATTTTTTTCCGCATATATTGAATATATACATATATTCTGTATGTTTTGAGAGTTTTTAAATGTTCGTATTTAAAGATCTGAACGATAATAATGTCCACGATTTTTATTTTAATTATGGAAGAGCTTCGTGTCGTTGTAAAATGAGGGACGGATTCTTGGTGCTCTACGAATGCGAAAAAAATGATAGAAAGTTAATTATTTTGATGTTACAATAACGACAGTATCACTGCGTAATATTTCTAAAAGGTGGGGAAAGCTGCAAACGGTTTTTTGCGAGTGTACTCTGATTACGAGATGCAATTTTGCAAATTGCATCGACTGATTGGTGCTCGTAGTTAAATTTAGTCGTCGGAGCTGCGTGTCATTATGAAGTAATACAAGCGAATTGTATTCTATTATCGTTTTATTTGACACCCCCTAATATTACACATGAATTAATATGTGTATCATATTAATACATGAATTTCATGTTTTTCATTATCGAATGTGCATTCGTGGACTCTGCGTGCTCTTGACGAACGAATTTCCCGCTCGAATTCCGAGTCACCTCGTTTCCTATTGAAGCGCGAAATCCGACCGAAGAGTGTTCTCGAATAACCACGGCAAACTTACCTCCGTGTCTCGCGCGTTCGAGTTTAGTTCGGCTTTGCCGTTTGCCTCCGGTTGGATCTGAGCGAAGCTGAAGTACGACGGTAGGATCTTGTACGACAGAAGATTTTGATCCTGCCAATTGGCCTGATGCGACTTCTGCAACTCCTCGAGATGATTCCTCTTCGCCGCGGCTATTTCTGCCGTGTCCTGTATCGTCTGCAACTCATCCCTGGGCGATTGCGGCAAATTGCTCGCGCTCACTCGAAATCCATTTTGATCGTCCGCCGTGTACGAGACCGTTTGCAAAATTCCATTTGCATCGATGTAGGAGTATCCTGGGGGCGAGCGGAAATAATATCCCTCGATAAATAGCGCCACCGCGTCCTCCGGAAAACCGCGCGTTTGTACAAAGAAAGGTACTGGTCGTCTCTTATCCGCTATCGCGACTGTTACGTGATGCACGCTATATTGCATTTTTTAACTCACATTTATTATAATTCTTACATTACCGAATCCACATATAACGAATCGATCGACGAGTAGCCGGATGTGATTTAGTGGAATTTCTCAGAAAGATAAAGTCAACGCGATTTTTCTCATCGACTATTCTTTGATCCTACTTCGCGGCTATTTTCATCATCTTCTCAATCCTCTATCTCCTTCTTCTCAATTATTCCATTAATTTTATAGTATTAATTACAAATTTCTTACATTATTTATTTGTATCATGTAAAGACCCTCACGTGAAACAAATTTCAAGCAACGACTATTAGAACGGGCCTTAGAGACACTTTTAATCGATAAAAGAGAGTTCACAGCATAATGGTCAAAATGAATATCGTTCATTAGACAAGTTAAACAGATGGCACGCAGAAAAACTCAAGCAGTAACAGTTTACAAGTCACAGTCGATTCTTCTTGCGATCCAAAAATAATCGACTTTCAATTTTCTTACTGCTTACTTTTTTCTGCGCGCCAAATTGAGCAGCCACAGCCGATGATTCCTCTCTCGACGGTCCACGGATAGTCGATTGTGTTTGGTCAGTTCTCTAACTTAAGTCTTACTGCTTTACGTATTTCTGTGTGCCGTTCGCTTTACATACGCGAGCGCGTCGTGAGTCATCCCGCACCTCGCGTACGAACGCAAGACCAGCGTTTCGAGCGTAAATCGCGCGCATTGTCATCCGAGGAAATTTGCAGGGACGAGCGTGCGACGCATGGGCGTTTTCTTGCGTCATGCCAGCATGCATCGGCGAGAGATTCACTCGCGACATACACGTAGGCCGGTAACGCAACTCTCGCAACACTTCGGAAAGAATGCATTCCATTTATGCATTTCTCTAGGTGCCCGTTAGATCACTAGTCATCGACTATGGTCTACACGGCGTGTCCCGGATCAGAGTTCCGATTTGATCGTGACGTCACGCGACAGGGCATCCTAGGGTAAAACATCCAATTATGGACATCACCTTAGTAATCGTTGGCATTTCAGAAGAAAACCCGGTTTTGCTTGTGATCAGCATCGCAATTAAACTTCTTACCTGCGCTCTGTGATTCCGACAGAGGATTTCATGGCTAAAACTGCGAAGAATCGTCGTTGGTCGCAAGAAAAACCAGGTTTTTTCCGGACCGCCGATGACCAAGAGAGATCAATAATTTGGTGTTTTACCCGATCTGAAGTGTATGAAACCGATAAGCAAGACTCACCACCCTGCGTTACGCCGTTCAAGGTGGATTCCGCTTTGGCATGGTGGGGTCCCGTGAAGGAATACTTGTACGAGCCCGATCCGTCCTGTATGTGATACTGCCTCAACGGCGAAAGGGCTGGTATCGGACTCAGCCAGACATTGGCGGCGATCGGCGAAGCGATGGATCGCCCGACGACAAGGCAGCACAGAATTGCCTGCAGAAGAACAAGTAAAGATCATTATGTCGAATCGTCGTTCATATTCATCTCCGAAAAAATATAATCTCATTCTTAGCACAATCCTCTTATATCTCGAGAGGATTCTGAAACCAAAAAGAAAGTCTCCCAAGTTCAATATTATTCCCCTTCATTAGAAGAGAAATACTCTTTCGGTAAAAGTTGTCTCTTAAAATACGGAATTACGTGAAATAGTACCTTGCAACTAGAGTTCTTTTTATTTAGGGGTTTTGGAACATTTTCCTTTTAGCTTCCGGAGAATTCTCTTGAAGTCTTATATATAAGAGGATTTCACTAAGGATGAGATTATATTTTTCTGGGTGAAAATATATAAGAAGAGAAGATGGAGAAACTCCGGTTGAAGGTACGCTCCTTTCGATAAGTTGTGCAGTTGATGCAATCGGTAAAATTGAAAAATTCACAGATCAAGAGGTAGTACAGAGTTTTTACTTTTGCACAAACTATTTTTTGACAAAGGCTACTCGACTGCTGTGTATATGCATTTTACCTCATGAATATTGACTGCGACTACGAGTTCGACTTACACGCGACTCGCAATTCGTACACGCGAATTATTAAAGGTCGCCGCGGTTGCTACCAAAACCGTATGAAAAGTGTTGATTCGTTCACGTGCTGTCGACGCAGTCAAGTGCGGCGATATTTATCCGAAACGTTTCAAATGTTTGTTTCGCAAATTGCACTGCAAACAGTGACCGAGCGATCACGTCTATTAATCTACGGTTAATTTAAACGCGGTGTATTAGCCAATGCGACGCATTGATCGGAGATGAGAGAACGGAAATGTGATCGTGCACAAAAAATATAATTTTCGGCAGGAGGTCGTCTCGCGACGCAGTCTGCAGCGACAAGTCGATTACAAGGAGGGACTGCACCCCCGATAGGGATAAGTCGCATCGATCGCGGAAATCCAGTCTGATACGCGAGCCGGTCACTTTCTCGGCCAGGAGAGACCTCGACACTTGCATTTGTCATGAGCATTTTCCGCGGGGCAAAGCGATATTCCACGAACCGCAAACGGCGAATCCGGGACTTCGATCGAGTCGGCGAACAACCTCGCGCAAGTACCTCGTAATTCGGCCAAATCGATAGTTATTACCGGGCTGATATTAAGCCCGCTCTCGTATTATACTTGCGCCGCAGTGCAGACCCAACAAGAGCATATTGACATCGATACGAGAGTAAACTTGCTCAAAATGTGAACCAAATAACACGATCAAATAACGCGGACACGATACATTCGCGGATGTATCTCGTAACGTTGGACGATGGATTGAAAAAAAAATGATAATTTTTATTTAGCGTACACAAAAAGAACGCGCACATGAGGCCTGACAGAAAAAATAAGGATCAGCGTGGAAAATCCGGCAGCACTAGTAAGTAAAAAGTAAAAGAGAAGAAAAGCTTCAAGAAAATCGCAGAAAACTACCGTTCTTCTCCCAACGAATGGGAACAGAAACAAAGTTTACTCGTCTCTCGCGAAATTAGACTTGTAATCCGCAAAGGCGACGCGACCAGATCGATCGAAGGACCGCATACGACGTAAAAAGAACCTCGGGGTAACCTCAAAAGACGCGCTCCGAGCAAATCACATTTTTCTCCGTTAATTAGTCGGTAATCGATCCGATAATTAGCCGGGGAAGGAACGCGCGTCGGTGTCGCGGGAAATTAGTCAGTGGATTCACTCACAAGTATCATGGTCGTCCTCGAGTGAACCAGGAGGTCGTTGAACTGTCGATCGAACGATCGTGAGCAGTGCTGATCTCTGTTCTGTGTGCGTTCCGCCGTTTTTTAATCTCGCTGTCGCGCGATGCCTGGGATAATCCCGGCGAGAGTCGGGTAACGGGTGTGAGAGTGCAAGCTCTCTCGGTCGCATCCTCTTATATAGGAACCCGCGGATCCACACCGCGCACTTACGGTGGTTCCCCACCAGCATCGCGCGCGCTGGGCCCTATTTGCGGGGCCCTACGGGCCGCACGAGGAGCTCACTCACTCGCTCGCTCGCTCGCTCACGGGGCCCCAAGAGCCCAAGGGCCACAAATCACCCCGAGTTCGATTTCCAGGCCGATAAATCAATGTTTATTGGCGTCGGCTACGAGCCGTCGATCTCGCGCGCATTCCGGGCGCCGAGGATGCGTTTTTCGAGTTCCCCAGTCCCCTCCCCCCTCCCCCGTGTAATAAGGATGCACGCACCGCGCTCGTAATAACGACGGCAACAACAACGGCAGAGCGAGAGAGATGATTCACGCCGGGCTCGGATTTTTAATTCTCCTGCTCTCGCAGCGGGCGCCGGACAGACCTCTACTCGTCGAGCAGCGATATCGTCTAAGTAGGTGTGTAAATTACCTCACGTCGACGCGCTTGTCCTGAATTGGGACTTACACGAAAAGCCCGTGTTGCATGTTACGCGTCCGCGGATTTTCTAGTAAATTGCTCAGAAACAACATCTCTGTTGAGGGGCGCGTTCTGGGTGACGCGATGAGTCGAAGTTTCGGTTCAACATTAATCTTACAAATTCCGCCAAGCTTGGACACACACATACAGTCTATTATTTTATCTTGATGCTGTTTTCTCCATGCTGATTTGTCCTTAAAAATAACATTCGAAATTAATTTAATATTCGATTGTCTCAATATTCTACTAGTATTTAATATTTATTCTTAATTTCAACAAGCAATGCATCAACTATGCAGTTCACTTAATTGCTGATGGAATTTGCACACGTGCGCAAATATTGAAAAATCCAAATAAATTAACGGACAAGTGTAATTAATTGATGAATGAAGCAGCCAATTTTGTTTTTCCATAATCTTTCTTATGTGTGTGTGTGTGTGTGTGTGTGATATAATTTCTTCATTAGCGTTGAAACTATATATCTATACAAGACGTTTATTTATGCAGATATCTATACAGCTATATCAGTCAGTGATATATCGCTGCCTCGGCCCCCTGCACGCATCTTCAGCTGTGAAATAATCGATAATTACTTTTTGCAATAAACATAATATTTCTACGCTAAACGTCTTAGATAATTCGATATCTGAATTGGGATCTCGTGATGATTTAACGGTACAGCTATACTTCATATAATCTGTAAAATAATCTGCGTAAGTAAGACGGTTACATAATGATCCAAATTCGGAATGTCAGAATTTTGTTATCATTTCTTTCCTCTTCAGCTCAATCATCATTATCATTATTTTTGTTATTGTTACTTATTATTATTACTTATTTTATATTAATCAAGTGAACAGAAAAGTTGACTTGACGTCAGAAAAATGTAAACGTATCTCAAAGCACTGTCTTGTGCGTTTCATAAGACTGATTGCATCAGACTTTAATGACTTCTGTTTGCCTTGTATCGAAAAATATAATTACATCAGATTGACCAAGCAATATCATCTACGGAGAGAATTAACAATTACTCAAATGATTTATTTACGAAGGATAACAGTTTTCTTATATGAAACTATAATTGAACCGTTAAACTCCTAACGAGATCCCAATTCAGATATCAAATGGTTATCTAAGAAGCTACTTCCACAGCATGGAAAATATCATTTTTTTGCAACAAGTAATTATATCGATTATTTCGCAACTAAAACCGCACGCAAACGGCCGAATAAAAATGAGATAATATATAATATTAAAATAAATAATTCTTAAAAAAAATAAATCATTATTAAATCATTCTTGAAAGCGTTTTCGCGCTTCTCTACGGAGAAAATGGAGTAAGCGAGCATTTGCAGCATCAAAGTAAGACAATAGTATTTTGATTTTGATCTTGAGAATCTTCATTGATCCTTCAAGCTCAACACAAAACTTGCAGAATTACTGTGGAACCGAAATTTCGACTCAGGAGGTCGAGACGCATCGCGGAAGCAAGCGATCTTGAAATTTCATTATTCTCACAATAACACCTTAATAACGTTTCCTTCTCGAATCGAACGTTGTATAATGAATTCCCTCGCGCAGGAGGCGAAGTCCGCGATATCGCCTGGACGCGATGCGCCGCGCAATTCTATTGAGATCACCGCGCGATTGCTGTTAATAGCGCGTTAAGGCAGCTTGGTAGTTTGTTATCGTCGTACGTTAATACCTCATTACGCTCGTAATCAAAGACTCTCGCATAATTTATGCGAGCCATCGCGCACGATTCCCATTAGCGTTAAACCGCATTAATGCCGCGCTTATACTTACACGACGATCACGGGCGATACCGTAATAAGCTGCGCGAACCGTCACGTCGCAACGCCAAAACGACGAGCGCACGTACGATAATGCCGCGCCACAAAACGACGTCGCAAGGGCGCCGTAATGGACGGAGGAGCGCGGTATCGCGCGTACCGATGCAAATACGGTCGTTGCACAACGTCACAGGGGCACTTAAACGCAGCCAAGATGAATTCTCGCGAGACGCGAGACAAACGCGATCGGCGTCGCGCGTCCACCATCGCGGATCATCATATTCAAATCTGCGCGACTCATCCTGCGTCGTGTTGGCGAACAACAACTCGTGCCGAGATAGCGCGAGGTCGACAGCGCGCGAATTGTATCTCGCGAGAAAATTAATTTCACACCCTCTAAGGCCTGGTTGCACCAACATTATTTTAGCTTTAAGCGAAACTTAAACATACATCTATCTTTATCTTTTTTTCTAAATGAGTAAAAACAGACGTATATTTAAGTCTCGCTTAAAATCAAAATAATATTGGTGCAACCGGGCCTAAGACCCGTAATAATCGTTGCCTGAAACTTGTTCCAAGTGAGATATACAGATTTGAGCTCGGAGTTAGAGGAGAATTCTTTTCAGATCTGTGAGAGAAATCCGTGTAGATCTAACTCTGAACAAAAATTTAAATATCTTACATGAAACAAGTTTCATGTAACGACTATTGATACGAGCCTTAGAACCAAACGTGAACTTTGCAATTGAATAGCGATTATAAATACGAATATCATTAAATATGCTTAAAAATTCTGATATAACTTAAATGAAAAATTCTGATATAACTTAAAATTTGGATCTGAGTGTCATGAGACGAATTTCAAGTAAGAACTAAAATATTTTATATTATTAATATATTAGTATCACCTCGAATAAATATATATATTTTTTAATATTTTGTCTCTTATAGTATGTAGGATTTATCGCACAATATTTCAAGCTCCGCAAGCGATTTTACGCATGGACGCCGTCGGTATTGCGAAATTCCACTTCTGTTCGCGGTCCAAAGATGCAAACAGCAAACGAGAGAGAAAGAGGACTCCAGCGTGTATCGATTAGCAACGAGCCGTCGAACGAATCCGGTCGGACGATTATACATCGTGAGATGAGGGTTCGCGGCCGTTTGCGCCGCCGCGAGATTAAAGGCGCAAGTCGAGGGGGTTGAAATAGCGTGCGTCTGATCTCGCGGCAAAAATCGACGCCGTGGTCCTTGGCAAATAGGAACGAATGCGAATGCAATTAACGTGCGGCTGAAATGAAACGATACCGGGGGCAATGGCGAGGCGCGGTGGCGTCTTTAGGAAAGGCCCAGGACGGCCGCGGGGCCCGAGCGTCTCTCCGCGCCGATCGCATAAATAACGGCCGGCCGCGAATTTACGGCCGGCTCGCTTAATCCGACGAGATGTAAGGGAACGATATGAGCGTAACGAGTTCATCAATTCCGACGGAATTACTCACGTGCTCGCGCAACAAGTCGCCGATGAGAGAGAATTCTTTCGCCGGCGCGCCGGCCACGTGGGCGGCGTTGCGTTGGTTTTGACATTGGCACTAAACGGAGCTCCCCCTCCTCTTTTCTCCCTTTCTCTCTCTCTCTCTCTCTCTCTCTGTCTCTCTCTTTCTCTCTTGGCTCTCCTCCTCTTTCTCTTTCCCTCTCATCTCGCATTAAATGGCACTCGTAGAGCCGACTATCTAACCGCGCATACGTCGGACTCCGATGCACAATGCAATGCGTTGAGAATGCAACGAGAGGGTACTGGACAGACGGCGGTGATCCTAAATCAACCCCTTCCCCCGCAGCGAAAACAATGGTAATCATCAATTCAGTCGACACACGGAGCGGGAGGAATCCGATACTAACGCGTAAGCTCGGCCACGGAGTATTAAAATTAGCACAACTTTTTATCGAAGCGCACGAAAGTCAGAGATCGATTGACTTGAAATTTTATCAAAGACTTGTAGACAAAATCGTTGACTTTTATGCATAGAAAATTGATGTAATCGATCATTATTTAATATGATCAATCACATCATATAAAGAAGTTTGACTAACAATTAATTTCGTCAATCGAAGAAGCAATTTGTGATTCTACGTATGACGATTGATTAATTTGGTTTATTGCCTCACCGATTATGTCAGTAAAAGAAAATGCTCGATCGATCAATGCCCAAGCTCTGGACAAAACTCGAGCGAAGAGCGACTCGTTAACACGCCCGCTCGAACTCGGGGAGAGTGAACTTTTTAAAATTTATATATTGCGAAACACACACACACACACACACACACACACATCAGGATTCCAGTATCTCCCTTCCCGAAGACTCATTAAATCGACGCGTAATTGTCGCTTATTATCCCCGTTCTCGGTGTCCATTCGAGCTATTGGAAGGCACGGACCTCCGGCGCTCGGCCTCTCTCACGATTCCGGAATTTAGTGTCCTCGCAGGGTCGCTCGCGGTGTCGCACAGCCCGGGGAATGTCCCCGCTGTCGGCGTAAGTTCTCCGTCTCCGTCGAGAACCCCGGCGACGATTTCAGTGCCGCAGCGACTACTACTGCATCGCGCTAATCGCCGCCGGAGCTCCTGCAGCCTAATTGCGCCCGCCGCCGGGTTGACGTCCGGGTCGTCTCGAGCTGCACCC